GCAGGGCTTCCAGGACTACATCGAGAAGCACTGTCCGAGCGCCGTGGTGCCGGTGGAGCTGCAGAAGCTGGCCCGGGGCAGTCTGGTGGGCGGCGGGCGGCAGCGGCCCCCGCAGACCCCGCTGCGCCTGCTGGTGGATGCCGACAACTGCCTGCACCGCCTGTACGGTGGCTTCTACACCGACTGGGTGAGCGGCGGCCAGTGGAACCACATGCTCGGCTACCTGGCGGCTCTGGCCAAGGCCTGCTTCGGCGGCAACATCGAGCTCTTCGTCTTCTTCAACGGCGCGCTCGAGAAGGCCCGGCTGCACGAGTGGGTCAAGCGGCAGGGCAACGAGCGCCAGACGGCGCAGCAGATCGTCAGCCATGTCCAGAACAAGGGCACGCCACCGCCCAAGGTCTGGTTCCTGCCACCGGTCTGCATGGCCCACTGCATCCGCCTGGCGCTCATCCGCTTCCACGTCAAGGTGCGGCTGGGGCCAGCGGGCCGGGGGCTCGGGGTTGAGTCTGAGGTCCCTTCGGGCTCGAGTCAGGGTCGGGCCGGGTGCCCTTTGGACTGGGATCCCTTCGGGGTTAGGTCAGGGTTGGGGGTCTGGTGTCAACTTGGGCAGGGGTCAAGAGTTGGGCTCTGGGCCTCTTCGTGCTTGTGTTTGGGCTGGGCCTGGAGTTGATGGGGGTAGGGATCGGAGTTGAGCCAGAGGTCCCTCGGGCCAGGGTTACAGTTGGGCCCCGGGTCCCTTGTGCTAGGGTTCAAGGCTTGGTCTAGAGTCCCTTCGGGCTTGGGTTTGGGTTGGGCCTGTGGGGCTCTCCCTGGGCCAGTGTCAGGGCTGGACGAGTTCCGGGAAGCCCAGCCTGGCCCAGGCCGAGTCTTGGGTGCCCCTGCCTGTGGAAGGCCAGGGAGCAGGCCTCAGTGTCTCTTAGGGGCCCCCTGGGACACAGCGTGTCACCATGCTCAAGCTCGATGCGAAGTCCGCAGAGGGGGCCTGGAGCAAGATGGATGTCGGGCCCATTAGGCCCAGCCTGGTTGGAGTCCGCCCACAGCCATTCTTCTCCACTTTCTCTCTGGTCTGCTGTGGGCCCGTGGACTTGTGTGTAAGACACTTAAGGCTTGTGGACAGACCCACACCCAAGAGGGATTGGTGGTGTCATCTCCAACATCCTCCCAGTCTCTCCCCTCTTGGAGGCTGGCAGGCCACTCCATGGTCTTAGACTTAATTGTAGATGCATCTGTCGAAATTAACCCGCTCTTTCCCAGCAACAGGTTTATCTTGGAAGCCTGTAGAATAGTGACAGTGGACCGCCATGGCCTTAGGGACAGGCAGCTGAAAGTAGAGATTGCCTCCAGAGCTGTGGGAGGCGACCCTTGTGTGCAGCCCCTTGCTGGCCTCGGATTCTGAAGGCAGACCCCCTGCCCCTCTACCTTGGAAAATGAGATGTTTGGAGAAATTGCTATGGTAAAATTTTGGTGTTAGGTTTCAAGGTACTGTAAAACTTGATGAGATGGCGTCTTGTCAGTTCTGTATGTCTGATGTGAAGGTAGTAGTTCAGAATCAGGAGTCAGAATTTGGGGATCGTTTGGCATAGGCACAAGCTTGCTAGAGCTGTTTTTTTCTGCCGCACAGGAAGCATTCAGTGACCTTCACCGGGCCCTGATGAGTGGGTAAGGAGAGCTGCACATTGTCAGCCTGCTGCCGTCCCTTTGGCCGAGGACTGCAGCCAGAACTGGGCCAGAGGGGAGCGTAAGGGCCCAGCAGTTGCCTGAAAGCGGAGCACCTAACTTATCTTCAAGTTTGGATAGCTTGCATTTTCATGTTTTCTTTAAAACACTTGTTTTTGGGGGGTTGCAGGGTGGATGAGGCTGTCTGAGTTTTTAATATCTGTCACTGTCTTCCAACTTGTTCTTTTCTTTGGGAACTGAGCTTGAGTTGAAAGTTTTAGACTGTCTCCCTCTTCCTGATCATCCCTGCTGGCAGTGATGAGATGGTGGTAGTTAAGCCTAAAATGATTGCGGAAGTCCCACCCAGGATCCTGTTGCAATTGGTGAAGTTGTGTTTAAGTCTGTGGGTGGAGGCAGCTGGAAGAGTGGTGATTGGCCCGGGAGTGTGGCAGCTACACCGCGTGTCATTTCTCAGCTAGTTCGTGTGAGAGGCGATGTGTGCTTTTTCACTTTTTCTCTGTAGCCTGGGGCTCTCGGAAGGGGAAAGGGGAGTCGTTCCTCTGTGATCCACCTCTCGTGGACAGCCTGAAAAAGGTCCTGGTTTAGTGCTGTTGGTGATGGGAAGTGACATTTAACACACAAGGAGCTATCACCTGCTTTTGCTAACAGCACAGGGCTGGATCCTAAGGCAGCCCACATTCAAGAAAACATTGAATATTAATTACTTCAGATTAGAATCTGGGCGTGTGGGTTCGTGTGTGCTTTTACCTTTTTGCAAGAAATGTTGAATTCTTACAAATTGTAAGCTTTTTTTAAAGATAGGATCTCACTATATAGCCCTGGCTGGCCTGGAACTCTCTATGTAGACCAGGCTGATCTCAAACTCACAGAGGTCCACCTGCCCCTGCCTCTGCCTCCTGAGGTCACACCACCATATCTGGCTGATTGTAACATCTTTGGGCCCTTGTGAATGCCTCCCATACCTCGGAGTTTTGACCAATGTAGTGTGTGTTTAGAAGCTAGATGTAAGCCACATTTAAGACAGTCTCGATGTGTTTGGTGGGACATGCCTGTCATCCCAACACTTGGAAAGTTGAGGCAGGAGGATCCTGAGTTTGAGGTTAGCATGCATGGGCTTTAGGGTGAGAACCTGTGATCTTCCTAGCAACCTCACTTTTTTGAAAAATGCCTAAGAGATTTAGCTTTTAGAAATTTCTTAGCAACCAAGCACAATCTCAAGAACATGGGGTAGAATGACAGGAGAATAGTGTTGTCTTTCCTGCCCGAAGGACCTCTCTCAGCCTGCTCTAGCCTTTGCAGAGGTAATTCTAGCAACTCTGTTGTCCATTTTCTCAGCTCTGCTTGAGGAGAGAGGAGTGAAGAAGAGAGTCTGCTGGCGGCAGGATTACCATTAATAGCAGGAGAGACACCAGAGAGAAGAGGGGAACTGCAGAAAGCAGACGGGATTCTGGGGATATTTTTAAACAAGCAAACAATCCTGTGCACTTTGGTACCCCTGAGGGTAGTGCAGTATTTATCCTCTGAGGATGATTTTCAGGGGCTGGGAGGTGGCTTAGCTGTTAAGAACACTTGTTCTTGCAGGGGACCTGGATTTGATTCCCAGCATCCGCACAGTGGTTCCCAGCTCTCTGTAACTCCGGTTCCAGGGTATTGGAAGCCCTCTTCTGACTTCCTCAGTCGCCAGCTGTGAATGTGGTGCACATACATACAAACAGGCAAAACATTCACACACATAAATAAATCTAAAAATAATTTTAAAAAGTAATAATGTACTGTACATGTTTTAAAAAGGATGATTTTGAGTCATAAAAATTACCTTTAGTGTTTGTGTGTGCATGTGTGTATTGGATTTTTAATTGTTTTTGAATGCTCATAAAAACGTAAAACAGTGATGAGCTATCACTACATGTCTGACGGAATAGGTGAATAGGAAAGACTGTCAGCACCAGGTGCTAGCAGGATTCTGAGCATCTGGAATTGGGCTGGCAGTTTATTTTATTATGTGTATGGGTGTTCTGCCTGCATGATGTAGATGTGTCTCCCTCCGCAGCCCTGTCCCTCTACCCTGTGTACACATATACTCTTAGTCCCAATGCTAGACCTAAAAACTGACACCAAGCAGCAGGATTTCTCCATTCCCTGTGGTCACTCTTCATCACAAGCAGCTTCACATAGCTCAGACACTAGAGCATTCAAGTGAGGACATTAGATTCAGGAAGGACACAACTGTGCGTGGTAGACAAGCACCACTTCTGTGCTTGGTGTCTGCAGAGGTCAGAACAGAACATTGGATTTCCTGGAACTGGAGTTACAGATGGTTGTGAACCACTATGTGGGTGCTGGGACTTGAACCTGGGTCCCCTGGAAGAGCAGCCAGTGTTCACCACTGAGCCTTTTCTCTAGTGGCAGTTTCTTACTAAGTGTACATATTCTACCAAATCTCACTAATGGGTATTTTCTTAATAAAAGTTTATTCACATAAACACTAGCATTTGGCCTGGGGATATAGCCAGTTGGTAAAGCATCCTTGTGTGTGTGAAGCCCACGGGTTCATGCCCAGCACTGTATAAACTGGACATAGTGGCACACACCTCTAGTCTCAGTACTTGGGAGGTAAAAGCAGGAGAATCAGAAGTTCAGGGCTAACCTCAGCTGCATAGCACTTAGAGGCCAGCCTAGGCTCTGTGAGACCCTGTCTTGGAGAACAAAATAGAACAGAAAGCCTGTAGCAGTTGGGAAGGTGGCTCAGTTAGTAATGCCTGCTGCACAGACAAGAGCTTGGGTCTGAACCCCGGCACCCATAGAGGAAGCTGAGCATG